TAGTACGTTGCATCATGCTGTTTTAGTGGATCAGTCAGATAATATTGAGTCTCCGGTGACTGAAATGGAGCGGTCAAATCATTTTGAGAAAAATGCGATAATTAGTAAACGCGAGGGGAATAAGGAGATTTTATAAATGCTACTAAATGTAATAACTGTACAATTACTATAAATATTTATTCATAATAATTAATGAAATGTAATGTTCATCAAATATTTCTATTTATTTGTTGATAAATATGCATTTATAACCCGAAATCCCTTTTTTCCCTAGGGAGGTAAGTTACTTTATTTACCTCCCGTTGTCCATAGCAACTTCCACTTCTACGGTAAAATCCACTTATCTCCTTAAAAACAATGTATTAATAGTCTATTTATTATTATAGAGGGAGCAGATAAAATATTTTTTGTTCAGTCTTATTATAACCACTTGAGATAACTGAGCAACGTGATAATAAATATTTCAAGTGTGCTCTTGAAATATTTCCTCTAGATATAACAAATAGTTATACTAGATCGAAAACAGCGCAACATATATTAAATAATTTTTAAAGTACCTATCTTGATATTAAAAATTATTCAACAAATTCTTATTAATTTCTTATCTGGATTGGCCAGTTATGTATGTGTTATACAGGGTAGCCACCGAGGTATGCGAGGTACTTCGTATATGAATTCTACGATTAATTTTAAGCAAAAAATTGCTAAATAGTAAATTACGTTGTTGCGACTAGAGGACTTAGAAAAAAATGAGGTTTATTTTAGTAAAAGCGTAATGACAGTGTAATTATTAAAGCTGCCCAATGTGACCACTGCCTTGTGCAATGCATAACTCAATCCTCAGGTGAAGCCCTAGTTCCCAGTTGCAGTTCTCCATATTGTTTTTCACCTCATCAAACACTGTATGAATCTTCTCAAAGAGTTGGTCCCTGCAAATAGCCTTCTCATTGAATACGCAAATGTCTTCACATGTCTCCATATGAAAAAGTCCAACGGGTTGAGATCCGGAGACCGCGGAGGCAAAGCAATGGACCACCACGACCTATTCATCGATTTCGATACTTTTCTTTGAGGAAATTAGTGACACTTTTTCCATAATGGGAAGGAGCTCCATCATGTAAAAAACACCGTCCTTCTGATTTGCAGAGGAATGTCCTGAAGTAGTAGAGGTAGATCGTTCTCCAAGAAAACCCGGTACATCTCGCTATTCAAGTTTCCGTCGAAGAAATTATTTCAGTCTAAACGTTTACGGAGAATCTTCTCTGAAATTCGGTTTCTCTAATGGCACGCATGTTCTCGATTGCCCACACATGATCGTTGTGGAAATTGTTGATCCTATCTCTTGTAAATGTAGCTTTGTCACAGAAAAAGGTTCTTGAAATAGTAACCAGATGATTGCTGCACCATACACAGACGAACTCTTTGGGGAAGATCCATGTGAAGAAGTTCTTGTACCGGTTGGTAATGATAAAATTGCAATCTATTTTCTTGCAGTGTCTTGCACAGCCATCCTACTTTGTTCAGTAAGAACAGAAATTCTTCTCGTACTGGTAACAGGATCATTTTCAACAAGCTCAGCACTTCCGCAGCATTGTTTCGGGAACACACTTGTTAATCGAGAAGTTGTGAAGGTTCTATTGGACGTTTGCTTGTCTGGAAAGCGGCGGTTCGGATATCGGCGTTGATATTCCCTAACTGAGGCGGTGGTACTACCGTTGCAGTATACATACATGAAAATCATGTCCGCGTATCATTTGAATAAATTGCTTGATTAAGGGTTTGATTTTAACACAAATGAAGCAAAAAATAGAAAACTGTCAATGATGACAATTAACGAACTGACAATCAACAATTATTTTCCAGTCGCAGCCAACTTGTTAATACTAAATTACCTAGCCCTCTAGTCGCAACAATGTAATTTACTTTTTAGCAACTATACATGCGATCTGGCAATTTCAAACCCCAATGGGAACCATGGATAGAACGGATTGATGTAAAACTTGGACTGTATGTAGAAAATAGGTCAAGAAACAAAAGTTATATAGTTCCAATGAGCGCTTTTGCCCAGGGGGTGAAAAATAAAATATTGGAAATAACCCCAGGGATCAATAAAGCAATCAATTTTAAGCAAAAAGTATGTTATGAACATTTTTCGATAAGTTAATATTTTCTGAGTTATTAGTGATTGAAAATGTACATTTTATATTAAAAAAGACGTTTCTCAATATAGCTCAGTCATTATAGACATGAAAGAGCCTGTTTCGGGAAAAAAATACTATTAGAAATATTAAAAAATCAACTCGAGGCTAGTTGGGAGACTTTGTTTTAACAGTGGTCAAAGTTATGGAAAAGTGCTTTTTTGACTCACATAAAAAAACTATTATTCACAGCGAAAGTTTGTACAAAAAAGGTAGGTATTAGAAAAGCCAATAAAATGAGAAAAGTCGAATTAAATACCGATAATTTGTACAAGAGCTCAAAAATGGTAGAAAATAGCCGTTTTTTTCAATTGCTAATAGTTAATGCAATTTTCATCGCAGACACTTGTAATTCAGGATTTTTGAGACCCTTACACCCTTAATAAGTGGTAAAAATTTCAGCCCGAAAGCTCCATTGGTTTGGCGTTAGCGGAATTTGTTATCTAAGAAGATGCTACTTTCAATTCATTTTTCTCAATCTCACAGGCGTTGTAGGGTTTCGACCATTAGTTGTTTTTGTACTTAAATAGTTGTATTGACATATGCATTTACTGAGAACTTAGTTTTTCAAATTTAATTTGTTTAAAAATGACTGAAAATATGTTAATATTTATTAAATTGTTAAGATAGGTAATTATTATAAAATAAAATAGTAACCTCTATACTTTAGTTGTCTTCGAATTTAAAAAAAAAATCGTTGTTGTAAGTTGATTAGAAGCTGAGATAATTTTTTTTTATTTAATCGAAGTGACCTTAATTATTAATATTAAGAGCCGAAATTTGGAGGGAGTATATATTAAGAGCTATATTTTCATGTCCTACATTAACATTAAGGTGAATTCAACTATTTAATTGCGAAAAAGAAGATAGCGGCAATGCGTTCTATTACTTGGTCTAGCGAACGAGTGGGGAGAGCGAGGCGGAACATGTGCGCTTAACAATTTAATAAATATTAACATTTTTTCAGTCATTTTTAAATTTGGAAAATTAAATCGTCAGTAAATGCATGTCAATACAACTATTCAGGTACAAAAAAAACGTTTAGTAGGTGCAATAGGTGCTGAGATATGGCTGGTTGAAGATAATTTCATGTCTACCAGAGACTAATTTGGAAGCATTTAACGTAAAATAACCAAAAATATTTATTTTTCAAGAAAAATGCACAGAAATTTTCTTAAAATACTTTAAAAAATCTCTAAAATGAACTTGACTTTAAGTCATTAGCATAAAAATTAACACAGTTATGTTCAAAATAAGTTGTTAATTCGCTTTTTCGGAAAAAAAAATCAGTACAAAAACTGATGATTTTTCACGAGATTAAAAATTAAAGGTAATCCTTCTACAATTTAAATTTCTATGTGTTAACAATATATTTTACAATATTTTAAGCGGTTTAGAATGTATATTTTTGAAAATATTACGTTTTGGTTGAAAAATTTTAATTTTTAGTTCCAAAAAAATAACGTATTGAAAATAACCTCAAAAACATAAAGATACGAAAAATATTCAAGAGTTCAAAAGCTAAGATTTTTTTTTCATATAATATTTTGTGTTTTATGTAGTTTAAAAATTAACTGAGATGTCGCTGCTAGAAGGTCATGTTTTCAAATCCTTTAAACTCAAAAATCTCAAAAATAAGTCGCTAAAAAATATTCAATTTTACAGTATTTTTAGCTGTCGAAATTTTCCGTAAAATAGTTTTTTTGATACTCTTAATAGCTTTAAAATTAAGGAAGTTATCATTAAAAACCAACGGCACCTTACAGCTTCAATTTTCAGAGCATATCAATATTTTGGTTATCCACAACTTTGGAGCATTCATTGGTTTAGGAAAATCTGAAATTATAACTGCATGAAAAAAATATTGAGAAATAATTATTTTGAATATTGCATAAATTAAAGTAAATCGCGAGAAAGAAAGTAATTACAAAAAAAATATTTCGCATTGTTTATTGGATTATTATATTTTGTCATTGGGGTGATTTTTAAGGGTTAAAACAAAGCGATAAATTATAAATTGTATTATAAACAGGTAAAAGAATTTAATATGTTATTAGGGGTAGTTTTTTAATGGTTGAAATATTGTAATAAATTATTTATAAAACCATAAACTATTGAAAAGATTCCTATCTATAACATATGCGCTATAAAAATATTTTAAGGTCGAAGAAACTATTAATTTTATATTTTTAAGGCTTGAAATTTTATAAAAATAACGTAAATTATTACCCATAATATAAAACAATATTTATTGTATATATTAAGACATGATTTTAGTCTATACGACACGTATTTTAATATTTATTCAGTTTTTTAACATAAGTGGTGGTTTTCATCCCCTAAAAATAAGAAGTGCATATCAAGCATATATAACTTTTCATTTACAGGATGAAACAAGCTTAATTCCAAATTTTCATAAAAATTGGAACTATCCGAAAGTATTCGGAGCTTTTACCCTATTTTCCTCTTCGTTCCCTGGACTAATATTTCAAGAACTATTGGTAATTCGAGAAAAGTGAATAGTGAATAGAATTTTTGCTTAAAATTAGTGATAGAATTCATTTACTTGGATACCTTGGAGACCACCCCGCATATACTTTTAAATTTTTCAAAATGATGTGGTCCATAATGTGGAACAAAATCTTAATAAAACATCTTATAAAGATGAGATTGTTTTGCAAGCGTTCGCCAAGGTTCAATACTAGAATACCAACCCTCAAGTGTTTAAAGTGGAAAGGTATTTCAAGTGATCCTTATCCAAAAATTCCAATGTTCTCGTAGTAGTATAAATAGCGGATATTTGGATTACTCGAGGAATTGAGTCAGTGACAATGGATTGCAAATACGGTGTCTTCGTGTTTCTTGCCCTCTGCGCTTTGGCCTCCAACAGTCAGGGACAGGCACCACAGGAATGTCGTAAGTTGTCAATTAATACTCAAACCGATTTAAATAGATATACGTAACACTTTCAACTTTAACAGACTCGTTAATAATATTTTTTGGGACTGTTTGTCAAGCTTTATTTTACTTTAAAGGCACTAAGCTGACCCAAATTATTTGTAAACTTTTCCTAAATTATTATTTTTGTATATTTATATGAAAGATGTACGTTATTTACTTTTAAGTATACTCGTGTATACACACCATTTTGGTAACACAAGTCTTTATTTTTTTTCATTAATTTACAATATTTTAATAGTAATCCCCAGGCTAGTATTAGAGTAATATCGCTAGAGAAGGTATTTTAGCCTGGTAAAAAATAAAATAAGTGCCTTTAAATCAAAATTTGTCCATACTTTGGAATAGGGAAATGAAGAAAGATGTTTGGAGTTTTGTTATTTATTGGCTACATGGAGAATATTTACATAATCCTAAATTTTTGAGCGATGAAGCCACATTTACTACAAATGGGGTAGCTTCGTCCCAAAATTGTCGTCATTATTCAGCTGAGAATGTAGAATTCATTATAAACGCAAAGAAGCAGTATTCGCAAAAAATTAACGTTTGGCATGGAATACTAAATAATAGAATAGTTGGACCTTCCTTTTTTGACGGCAATTTGAATGCGAATAGATGTTTATATTTTCTTAATGAATTTCGCAACGCATTGGATGATTTGCCTTTAAGAAATCTCCTTAATTTGAAGTTTCAAATAGATGGTAGCCCTATTCATAACGCTGCTACGGTGAGAGAATGGTTAAACTTCCTTTGAGCGGCCACCGAGATCTCCGGACTTGCCGTCATTAGATTTTTTCCTTTGGGGTTTATTGAAATAAAAGGTTTATAAATCAATTCCACGAACTAGGTGCTAGGATAATGCAAGCCTGTGCAGAAATTACTCCAAACCAAATATAAAAAGTAATTACGAAAGTACGTAAAAGAATTGAGAAGTTCATATAAGTAAATGGTGGATTAATAGAAATAACCAAAATATAATTATTTAACTTTTGTTTTTGTGCCTAATTCAGAACTTAAGACGAGCAAAATCTGTAACGAGAAAAATCTCATAGGGACAGAGAGCAAAATCTCAGTGTCGGCGGAAAGAATTATCGGTAGTGTTAATGAAAATTGTTCGAGCAAATGGCATACTATGGAGAATTCAGTGCACAAAACAGTCATTGAGTAATCTATAAGCGTCGTTGAGACAATTATTTTGTAGTTAATGCTATTTACGAGGATGCCAAACAACGTGCAATATTGCTAAATGCTTTGGATGAAGAATCCTGTAAATGAATACATAATTTATGCTTTCTAACGCTTCCTGAGGGTAAAAATTACAAATAACTGTCTGAATTATTTAACAAACATTTCAAAATCATCGATTCACTGTTTATGGCACGTGCGAAGTTTTTCGGTGCATGCAAAAATGTAAACGAATTGGCAACTAGAGTCAGATGTCTTGCTTTAAACTGTGATTTTGAAGAAAATATGACCGTCATTATGCTACGTGATTGATTTGTTATCGGACTTAAAAGCGGCAAATCCCTTTTGGAAATTTATAACCCTAAAAAGTCATATCGCAGTATTCCGCAAATAGATTCAAACGGTACTTGCAAATTTCAAGTACAACATAGATTATGTTAAATCAGCAAAGAACAATGGTAATTTTTTGTCACGCTTGCTAATTCAGAATGATGAAAATGAAAGGGAATCAGTTGACGTCGATTATTTAAATAATGTTTCCGATAATGCTAATACACATTTCATAAAACTTTGAAATTATTACGAAATATACCGAGTCAGAAAATAAATGCCTAAAAGAAGGGAAACCCAAAAAAATATAAAAGTGATAAATTTAACAAAAAGTATGCTAATCATAATCAAATCAAAATAGAACACAATATTTTGTTTTTGAATATCAGTGTTGTTGTTCCTGAAAAACTAAAAAGTTATGTGCTTTCAGAGTTACAAAATGTCCCACTTAGAAAATGTAAAAATGACTAGAAATATTTTTGGGCGGGAAGAAATAAAGATATTGAAAATATAGCAAAATGTTGTGCAAATTGTGCATTGAATAGAAAAGTCCTCTTAAAACAAATATAAATTCAGGGAAATGGCGCTAGTAATTGTTTGAAAATATTCAGATAGTTCCATTTTTAAACAAATATTTTTTAACATTCAACAATATTACTTCTGATTTTATAATAACAACGTTGCATAATACGTTTGGATTAGCAAGTATAATGTCAGATAACGCTAAATTTTCGGATTTTTCCGGGTTTTCCGTTTCTAATTATCCGATCGATCGTTTTATTCGTATTTTGATTTTCCACAAATTGTCTCTTTAAGTATAGCATTTATTGTCAGATTACTTAGTTTAAGTTTTATAAGCGAAAAACTAAAAATGTTTATAAAAAATTAATTAATGGTAAATTGGAGTAGGAAACATATAAGCATATATCTACAGACTGATGGCACAATCCGTTTGCTACTAGTATTTTTGTTACAAATAAAATCTGTATTGATTGACCTAATACCGAATTTTGAAAAGGTAACGCTGGATTTGCAATTAGAATTAGAAGCTTTTTGGCTTCCAATTTTTTCGGATGGAATGGATTGACGTGAAATTTGAACTGAAGCTAGGGAATAGCCCAAGAAACAAAAGTTATATAGTGCCGATGTGTGCTTTTATCCTAGGGATGGATGTCACCCCTTCTGGAGGGTGGGAATTTTTTTATTAAAAATAACCTCACGATTCGATAGAGGGACGAATTCTAAGCAAAAAATGTTCTATAAAAATTTTTTGTACAGTCAATACTTTTTGAGTTATTTGCGCCTAAACATAACATGTTCGAATTTAGCCCCAAAAATGCATATTTTTGAGCCATTTTTCCAAAAACTACAGGTTTTATCAAAAAATGATCATAAGCAAAAATGAAGATAATTAAATAGTAAAGAGACCGTTTTCTGTTTAATTTTTGTAGATGGTATAGAACCCGAGTTATGACTCCCAGAAGTTGAAGTCAATTTCGAAGCTAGCTATAATCGAAACGTTCAACGTCCTGTAGCGGAAAAATTAAAGGTTTTTCGAGGAAAACTTATATAACACCTATTAAAGTTCTTGAAAAGGTCTTTAAATTGAGTGGTGGTAGAAGTTGTTAGCATGAAAACTAATGAAGTTACAATCAAAATAAAATGATTGTCTTGATTTTTGAGAAACAAATTCGGTATTAAAATTAATGACTTGATGGAAAAAAAATTAAACGTATTCCTTCTGCAATTTACTTTATTTATGTATTAACAGTAGATTCTGGGAATTTGAATGATTTTAGAAGCCTAAATTAAAAAAAAATCATTTACTTTTGAATAACTAACTAAGTTATAAAAAAATGATAGAATAAGAAATTGTAGGTTTTTTCTTACTAAACAATTTGCTTTTTTTTAATTTTTGTATGACAAAATTTGACTGAGTTATGCCCTTCAGAAGCTCAAAACTAAGCTCCAAGACTGCCTTTCCAAAGTACTTTTTGCTTACAAATCTATAAAACGAAGGGCTTAAAAAACTGCAAATCACAGAATTTAAAGTGCTTTAAATTCCCTACAAAATGGTTTTTTGAGTAAATTTATAAATTTAAAATTACAAAAGTTATGGTAAAAAAATTTATCGCATTTTTTCGGTTAAATTCGGTACCATCATCTTTGTGTATTTTGGAGCACTTGTGAACTGATTTGAGTACCGTATTTTAATAATATACATACACCCATGTATCCATTTATAATGTATATAAAAAAAATGTATTTGATATAAATTTAATAAAAAAATATTAAGAACAAATTCAATAAAATTTAAAAAAAAATATATCATCACACATATAATTTTAGGAAATTTTTCTATAAGGGGTAGGTTTTTTATGAGGGGTAGGTCTTCCATAAGGTTTTTTGGGTGGCTGAGAAGTTGCAATATATCATAGATCATTTGAAAACCAATAAAAAGTTTATAATTCAACATATTCATACCATTAACACATCTCAAGTTTTCAATAATATTTTATTTTATTATAAGGGATGGCTTTTAAGGGTTGCAACTTTGTAATGAGTCGTAAGCTTTCTAATGAATAACAAAAGAAATATAATACATTGTGAATGCACCAAAAGAATATTTTAAACTGTTAAAAACTTTTTTTTCCTATTTTTTGGCCATGGAAGGTTAGTTTTTAAGGATTTTTAAGGGTTGAAAAGTAATTAAATTTCATAAATTATATTAAAAAACATGAAATGAACTTTATATCCAACATATTTGAACATGAATTGAAGTAGTTCTCACCCCCAAATAGAAAAGGCACACATCTAGACAATATAACTTTTGAAATGGGGGGTCAGATGAGTTTGTATGCAAATTTTCAGGAAAATCCATGCTATCCGAAAAAATTGGGAGCTTTTACTTTATTTTCGCCTTCAACAACTGGTCCGGTCTTTTGGATCAGGTACTTTTTGTGGCTCTGTGTGATATTGTTATATTAATAGAATATACCTAATAAAAGTTCGTTAAATTGAGTAGAGAGAGCTTCGTGACAATATGTCAAAATCGGCAGGTTCCTTTTTAAAATGACGTCAATCTTCTTGCATTGATGACCTTGCTATCAATTAGAAACCCATCTAAGAGGATATTTTTAACAAGTCCGTTTTAAGAATACCAAATTTATCGTTTCACTTTATCACCCTTTTATTACACTTCGTACATAAGCTAATTAGTGAATCCTTGCAGTTGATTTCCCTCCTCACTTGGACGACGTGGAGTTGGGCTCCCATTCATTTATCCTGAGGTGGTCAATAGAAAACGACATATGGGAGAGATGTGAAGTCAACGAGCTCCTGATCGAGGGAGCGAACATCAGAGAGGCCGTACGCATAGAGGACGAACACAGATTGGCACTTGTAGAAGTTGAGGTCCGTGATGTGATGCCCGACAGAATGTACTACCTGCGCGCCTTCGTCCGTCACGGTGAAGAGTGGTCTGTGCCGACAGTGGTTGCCATCCACACCTTGCCCGATAGGGAACCGGAACCGGGACCGGATCCGGAACCAGAACCGCAGGAGTGATGCGAAGATGAATTTTTAAGGCATTCTTTACACCCGTATTGTTAAACCAGATTTTACCGTATTGTACAAATATTTTATTTGTTCTGAAATTAAATAGTTATCAATGTATATACAATGTGTTACAATAAAAAGCAAGTGGGTGAATTATACATAAAAAATTAATTCTTATAAAAAGGTGTGCTTGAAATAGATCCATATTTTGCGCTCGGCCCATAATACTTATTTAGAAAACGAATAAACATACAGGGTGTATCACGAAGAGGGCCCAGAAGGATTATCTCAAAAAGTAGTCAAAATTGAATTCTGAAAATTTGTATACAGGGGTTTATCAAAAAGATCTATTCAATGAAAATAGTGTCAACTTTCTCGCACTTCCGGTTATACCGGAAGTCATCATCAACTCTGTTATTTCAAATGGAACACTGTATACAGAGTGTCCCAGTGTCAGCGTACAAAAATTTACCAGGGGGTAGACCAGACCAAAATAAGATTAAAAATCTTATAAAATATTTTTCTGTGATGCACTCTCACCGAGTTACAGGGTGTTATTTAGAAAAAAATAATAACAACTTTCCGCAACAACTCAAAATCCCTTTCAGGATTTAAGTAATTTTTGGGTGAAGTGTACATCTATTAAAGGCAATTAAACCTACATGGTACTTATTTCAATCTGACGCCAGTAGTGGCCTAGGCCAATTTGTTCTCAAGGTTTTGTCATCATAACTTTTGTTATGCAATCGATTCTGAACAAAAAATGAGCTCTTGTTTCATAGCTCAAAAATGAACCGTTTTCGAGTAAATTGGGTCTAAGGTACCGCCTACATTAATTAAAGAAAAATGCATTTAGAAAAATTTATAAAAATGCATTTAAAGATATTATTTGTTCTTATCTAATAGGTACCTGTCATTATAAAAAAAAGCTGTTTACAAGCGTACATGTCAAACAACAAGATATTAAGTATTATGAAATTGTCCAACAACGAATATGCCGATATGATATTTGTCTACGGTTTCTATGATGGAAATTCATTGGTAGCCTCACGAGAAAATCTACGCAGGTTTCCAAATAGGGGGCAAATTGGAAATACCAGAATAAGAAGCAATTTGAAAGATGCAAACATTTTAGAAGAAAATGTAAAATAACGCAGGTAGATATTCTACGAAGCAGCGTCTGGAAAATTTTAAACCGAGAAGAACTGCACCCACAACAGCTACATAAAGTACAAACTTTGCATCCTTGTGATTCTGAAAAAAGGATACAATTTTGCAGGTGGTTGTTAGAAAATATCGATAATGACAAAAATTTCCATCAAAAGATATTGTAAAGCGATGAAACTATCTTTACGAGAATTGCTATAAATAATTTAAAGAATTTTAATATCTGATCTATTGAAAATCCGCATTTGATACGACCCTCCGCGTTTCAAAGAAGGTTCTCCATGAATGTCTGAAGAGGAATCTTCAACGGAGCCATTCTGCCTCCTCAAATTATTGTAGACCGTTCGAATTCAAAGAGATACACGGATGTTTTAGAAAATATTGTTGATGGCGTACTAGATGACGTTTAATTAGCTTTGCAAAATCAAATGATGGAGCACCTACTCGTAACGGAAGACAGGTATCTGCGTGGCTCGATTTACATTTTCCTAGAACGCTAGATTCAGAAAAATTGAACTATTATGTGACCTCCCAGGTTCCCTGATCTCAACCCGCTTGATTTTTTTACTGTGGTCATATGAAGCAACTGGTGTATGCCAAACCCAAAAAGACAAGATACGATTTACTTTAAAAAACTAATGCAGTCACCGAGCAAATTCAAGGAACCGTTGATTTGCGAAGGGTTTACAATTCCTCGGTCAAACGATGTCGGACATACATTGAAGTATGTAAATGGACAGCATTTCAAGCGTTTATTGAAATTTTCTATTTTTATTTTTAATATTGTCATTTTGCTAACATAATTTCGTTTGTAATTTTCAATTTTATATTTAGTTCCCCTATACGTAGATAACCAAATATTAAATCATTCATAGAAAACTTGTTTAGTATCATTCATTGAGCCGCAGCTACATGGGAAACTGTACCTCAACGGTAAACAATTTTGTTTTTTATAATTACAGGTACCTACTAGATAACAAGAAATAAAATCTTTACATGCATTTTTCTACAAACTAATGCTATCGATACTTTAGACTCAATTTACTCGAAAACGGTTCATTTTTGAGCTATGAACAAGAGCACATTTTTTGTTCAGAGTCGATTGCAGATTCAGGAAAACGTAATCAAATTACATACAACTAGGATATGCAAAAGTTATGAATACATAACCTTGAGGACAAGTTGGCCTAGGCCGCCCCTGGCGTCAGATCGAAATAAACACCATGTAGTTTTAATGACCTTTAATAGATGTACACTTCACCCGAAAATTACTTAAATCCCTGAAAGGGTTTTTGAGTTATTGCGGAAAGTTGTTATTATTTTTTTCTAAACAACACCCTGTAACTCAATGAGAGTGCATCGCAGAAAAATATTTTATAAGAATTTTAATCTTATTTTGGTCTGATCTACCCTCTGGTAAATTTTTGTACGCTGACACTGGGACACCCTGTATTTTTGCATATTATTTTAGTTTTCCGGTAAAATCTAGACTAATTTCATATAAGGCACTATAGGCCAAAATGTGACAGTTTTCAAGTTATTATCAATTTTCGAAAAAAAATTGAAGGATGCAAATGATTTTTGTGAAAACGGAATAACTCCGACATTTAGCTTTATTTATTAACGAAATTTCGCATGGATAATTTAAAAGCAATGGAATTCAACCAGTTTATTCAAATTTGTAAAAATTCATACAGAGTGTTGAAGAACGTTTGACCAATATTATGACGTTGAAGTTGAATTTACTCAAATATTTCAAATGGTACACCCTGTATTTTATTACATTAGTGGATGCACAATTAAATTTACTTTAAAATTATACTATAGTTCCCTATACCCAAAGTTAACAGTTCTTGTGTAAATTGGAAATTATGAACTTCAACACAGAAAAATGTACCTACGGTGGAGTTGATTTCTAAAGAATTGAATAAAATAAACGGTGTCTGATTAATGAAATGTAATTTTTATTATCGTTATATTCATCAAAAACAATAATTCAGTATATCAAATTAAAAAGGGCGATGCTTTAAATAATAATAATAATAATAATAATAATAATAATAATAATAATCGACTTTATTGCTTTTCAATTCATACAAGTAGGAATACTGATACAATAATAATGTAAATAAAAGTATAAAGCAAAAGGCGAAGTTCCATTTATTTGAGATAAATTGTTCTTCCACTTAACCTAAAGAAAATCATTGCTATGACATAGTTTATACATACATTTATGAAATTTTAACCTTATCACTGCATATAATAGGTTGACATAAAATAACACTAATGATCATCAAATAATAGTTGCCTATAGGATGTCTTAAATTTTTGAAAAGAATAACTTTTGAAATGTGAAGGAATGACACTCAAACTTTTAGCCTCCCGTACAATTTGAATACGTTCGTCCTCAATAGATATATTTATGCTATATTTCAACCATCTTTATTTTATTACCAAACAATAAAACATTGGATTTATCACAATTAATATTTAAACAGTGACTGGATGCCGCTTTAATAAAATTATTTAGATCCCTATTTATAACAGTACATTTACCACTTCCTTGGGGTCAAAATTGTAATAGAGCTGGGTGTCATCGGCATAAAGGTGGATGTTACAGTTTTGAAGAGTTTTAATGAGACTAGAGGTATAAACAGCAAAAAACAAAGGACCCAAAATAGACCCTTGAGGAACTCCACTCTTTATATCTGAACAATCGGATGATTCACCATCAACCATAACCATTTGTGACCGATTAGTTAGGAAAGATTTTAATAAATAAACCCACCATACCCGTAGATTTTTCTGTGTTGAAATCAATAATTTCCAATTTAAACAAGAACTGTTAACTTTGGGTATAGAAAACTATAGTATCATTTTAAAGTAAATTTATATATTTATAAATTTGGCATCCATTAATGTATTAATACATATACAGGATGTACCATTTGAAATCTTTATGTAATCTAACAAAAGCCAGATCCGTGTAATTTATGGGGCGATTTTCAGACAGATTGGAGCTCAATAGTTCTATTAGGCCTTCTAAGAACAACCATGGGCAGACGAGGGTCAAGCAGTATAGGTGTCATATTTGTATTTAGAGGGTGGTCTGAAGAGCTTTTATCGCGGAGATTAATAAATTTACAAACCGATAATTAGAACAACCCCAAAACACTTCGGGTTAAGTAACTTCTTGAAAACGTAATCACCATCTGACAGTCATCGGTTACATCCGGGAGGCGCCAGCCTATGCTGGGATAGAACAAAGAAACCCATACTTTTAATTTAATTTAATGTTAAATAACGTGCGGAAACGCGAGAAAGGCGTAGAGGTTCCAATTTAGAATTAAACCAAATTGTTAAATTGACAATAATTGGAAAAGAAAGTAATAGACCAAATAGCTGATTTTTAGGCGGATTTTCCAAGCTATAATAATATATTAAATGAGATTGACTAATCCGTCCCGTATTGCTACACGGAGTCACTAAAGGAAGGCTAGGGTTATTTGTAAGTTTAGTCTCAAAATTATTTAGATAAATGTAAAATCAGTCCATTAGAGAACTATTAACATAGCATAGTTATGCCAAAGCGTCCCGATGTTCAGGGTTCCCGCCAGTAAGATAAGAACAGAAATTTCTGGACCCAAGAAATGGGCGTGTCGAAGGGAGGTGTCGAATTTAGGAGAGATCTCTGAAAAAAGGCAGTTTTTCCCTTGGGTTCCACATTGAGCAGTCTACTTAGTTTTAGAGTCTCGGGTTAATTTAATAATGGATAGTCATTCCAAATTTTGCTATGGATCGCGCTTCCCTGAATCACGGTACGCTGTAGCGTGTCAATAAAGTAATTAATAATGTTTTTCGAGCCCGTTGTGTCGTTATTTTGTTTGTTTGTTTTGTTTTATTGTTATTCCCCTTCCTGGAAAATTTTGGTGTTTTCTTGTTCTTCCATACAACCAACCACTGGATTACATTCTACGTAAGCAATGAATGG